GTATAAACTCGAAGAGCTGCACCGGCGGGGTTACAAAACAGGATCGACAAGCGGCTTGCACGGCCGCTCATAATATTGTCATAAGGCCTACACCTGCGTGGATACAGGCTGCGGCTGAGCCGGCCGTTTAAGCCACGTTCGCAAGAAGAACGAGTCAAAGTACGCCAGCAAGGCTCGCGACGAATGATCGCAATCTACTTTGATCTCGATCCGCTTTTCTATGGCCTCGACGCGACCTGAACACGGATCCTGACCTCCGTTAACCTGGTATCTCTGACCTCGGTAACCGAACTTGTCTACGGGACGCGCTTCTTATCGATCCGATTCTCGAAATATCGGGCTCACGATTCTTCTGTCTGATGCCGAGCAATGGGAATTCGGTGTCTGGGAATGGGGAAAATTGAAACGAGAGAGTAACTATTTTAAGAAGAAATTGGAACGCGTACACTCGTTTCGCAGCATTTTAATTTCTTTGTCCAATCGAGATAATAGTGTATAAGCGAATTTGATTTGTGAATAAATTAATTAATTAATTAATTACTGTAAACATACCAATTTTTTGGACGAAATGATAGTGTATAAGTGTTATTGAAATACATGTATTGATTTGTGAATAAATAAATTAATTATTGCAAGCATAGAAATTCTTTTTTGATTGAAGAGATAGTGCACAAGTATTATTGAAAAATGTATATGTGTGGATTTGTGAATAAATAAATTAATTATTGCAAGCATAGAAATTCTTTTTTGATTGAAGAGATAGTGCACAAATATTATTGAAAAATGTATATGTGTGGATTTGTGAATAAATAAATTAATTATTGGAAGCATAAAAATTCTTTTTTGATTAAAATAGCAGTGTCTAAGTGTTACTGAAATAGATGTATGGATTCGTGAATAAATAAATAAATTATTGTAAACATATAAATTATTATTAATCGACATGGTAATATACAAGTGTTATTGAAATACATGTATGGATTTGTGAACAAAGAAATTAATTATTCCGTCGAATAGAAGTAACAATGTTCAGGTGCTATAAAGAAATCGATAAATTAATTAATCACCGTGTGCATTTAAATTATTAAATTGAATAAAATAATTGTTGCAAATATTCAAATATCTTTGTCGACTCGAAATGATGGTATACGAGTATTATCGTATACAAGTGTATACGTTAATGAGAAATTAATGACTGAAAGCAATGCTTCTATTTATGGAACTGATTTATGGAACTAGGAGACTGCAAATTTAATTTAATTGTTCCTCTAAGTAATGTAGATTTTTTGATAACGGAATTAACAAATTGGTAATTAATTGTGCTTTATCTTCTCTCGTTTTCTTTTTATTTCCTTTGTATAAATCTTTTATCGCGACATGCTCTATTTACGAGAAAAATTATTTATGGGGTGATACAGTGCGTAGTAATAACGTATTAGAATTAACTGCAATTTCGAATCAATTGTGCCGGGCTATCTATCAGCTTAGAAAATCTTTCTATAATTGCCTTCGCTTATCTCCTTACTCGAAACAAATTTATTCAAAAATCATAGCTATCGGAATAGGAAATCAGTGTTACGAGGTTTAACATGCACAGATGCTAATTCATTCTAACACGTTAGTTTTGAAAAGCCAATCTCATCGTCGTTATCTTCTGCTATAGTCATCGCGGTACTAATAGGTAAAATTATTGCAGGCTATTTCACATTCTAATTAATTATCTAATTAATTAATACCACGCGTGAAACCTTAATTTTTGCGTAATTCAAACATTGCTACAATAGCCACGTATGTGTACATTCCTTTTCTCAGGAATTTCAAAATATTTTCCAATATCACCTGTCTCGCTCGATATTTATAAACAAATTCCAAACGAATACAACTGGAAAATAAATAATAATTTTCTTTCTTTAGCTTCAATAAATTCCTCTTCGACCTTTATATATATATTTCTCGATCATTATTACAGAAACACGATTATATAAGAGAAATAAATAAATTTTTGTAAGATCAATTTCTTAACAGAAGAAAATATGAAAAAATGGGAAGAAAATATGAAATTCGATAAAACCGAGTTTATCTACCGTTCAGAATTCTAATGAAGATATATGAAGAAGAAATAAGATGAAAGAAAGCCGAAAGCTCCACGCATTATCAATCCCTTCCCATAATCCCATTTACATCGAAAAATAGGTCACTGGAAAAATGATAGATAATAATATCCTCACGATTACTATAAAAATTACGTTTCCACTCTTCGCGAAGTACATACGGATCTTATCATACCGGAAGTGAAACCAGTTCCTCCATCTTTACTCCGCCATTAATTCCCCATTAATTCACCAGGAATTCGACGTTAATTCAACGTTAATTTAACCGAAGCTTGCGCGAGCGTAATTCGCTTAATTACACGCGGCAATCATAGTCACGTTCTCCAAAACAATACGATTCGAAACAAATTGAGTGCACTCGAGTGATCGAGGAACAATCGTACCGCGACGTTCCGCGATAAACCTTGAACTTCCCATCTCGTACACGCGAAACAATTACCCTCCTTTCCTCCGTGTAAAAATTGATATTCCCCCTAGCAGAAGAATTTCCATCAACTACCACACGATCCCGGCCACCGTTCCTATCCGCGCTGCCTACACCCACATCGGAACAGCCACCCGGAACGCCAAGTCTAACACGACTGTACGGTATTACGACGAAAACGATCGCGAGATAGCGCTTTTATTCCATCGCGGATCCCATTTGATCTGGTTCATCGAATAGGACCGAATAATCCCGTGCCGGAAATACCGGTTGACTCTCTTTGTTCTTCGGGGCCTGGAAAAGGACGAGGCGCGAGAAAGGAAGCGGAAATATTTCACCGTCCGGCCTACGTTAATCTGACGTCCAATGTATCTGGCTGTGACTCTCTTTCTAATGGTCAAAGACATTAAGTTCCTAACTTTTTACGGTATTATCTGTCCCCCACCCTGCGACCGCCAGTTTATCATCGTTCCTTGCTTCATTATCTTCCACGACGAGGACTCATCCCCAAAGCATACAGTACCAACGAGTACGGTCCCAGTGGCGCTCATCCGAGCTCTCCGTCTCTTTAGACCGATCATCCGGCCCTGCACCGGCGACATGACCGAGTTTTCGAGAAAATTTTGCCGAATACCCGCGGTGCACACGGTTCGGGTTACCGGCTAACGGTATTTTATAGCCGTTAATAATATCCGGTCGTTTACGTGGCCTGGGAAACCGAAAGGGCTCACCGGGTCTCCAGGCCGAAATTTCATAATTGCCTGGCCCAAGCTAGTGGGCTTGTTAGAGAGACAAAGTCAAGTTTGTTGTCGAAGCGGTTCCACGGCTCGTAAACAGATTATTCACGGCACAAACGGAATCACTAGATAACGCCTGTGGATAAATAATTCCGCGTGATAGCATCGGGATATGTATATATTGTCTCTGATCCAGGCGAGATCTATGGCTCGGTTAGCGGCAGTTTCTTGGGGGATTAGCTCGGATACGGGATTTAAACGGTAGAAAGTTGGACAATGCCAGGAATGTGTCGAGGTATTACGATGTGACGGCAGGCATCAGGGATATCTGTTTAGACTGATCCTGTTTGGAGCTGGGTTCCCGATACGAACGGTGCTTTCAGAGGATGCACGTGTGTTTCGGATCTTTCCGAACCAATGTACCCAGGATTCTCTTGGTAAGTCGAGCGAGGAAGTTGCAATGATTAAGAGGGAAATCAGATCCGTGTTAATTATCTCTTAATGTTCCTCTGTCTTTGTAACGTATTTTTATATTCGAAGCCAGCGCTATCTGCAATTTACAGCGATATGATTCACGGGTAATGCGATCTGTACCGTAAACCTAATTCCCTAGTTCCCAATTGCTTCTAAATTTATGCACTGGAGTACAAACAATGAAACCTAAGAAACCACACGTTCGTTATTCATATTGAGCTAAATTTCCCAGTTACGCATGCTTTTTTGTAAATTGACACGACTTTGGATACGTTCCAGTCTACGATACTGAAAGATGGTCAAACAAGATGTAAAAGTTCTCGAGTCATCATAAACATTTAACGCTGCAACTATAACAAGCAATGTCATGATCAGTCGTGACTTGATTTCACAATTTTTATTTACGATTCATATTTATATAGAATAATATATTTATCATACCCTGCGTTGGTATATTATATTTGGACTACGTTGGAGCAGGTAGTCCTAGGGTCAAAGCTGTGGCATTAAATTCGGTAAGAGATCGAAGCGACGAGGAATTTTTGAAAGCGAGAAAGCGAGGATGGAGAAATTTCGAAGACAGTTATATCAGTGGTTCCTCGTCGACTGTTTTGTAATCGGCATCCCTACAATTCCGAAGATCTCACGCTTCATTAGGCACTAATGACACTGTCAGCCACGAAATACCTCGGTAGGTCCCCAGAAATCGCTGTAGAACCGCAGAAACCCAGGTACCCTAAACGATTAATTTGTTTTCGTGCAAATCGACGTGATCGTGCAATGGGACATCCTAGATACGTCTTCGTTTTCAAAATCTTGCGCTTAACGTTAGAGGAGCATCTATCTCTTCCACGTTTGACATCGAGGAAAGAGACAGTCATACTCTCCGCGACTTTTGAACGACTTACATACATGTACATACACGTACACGTCTGGCTCGACGAATCTTAACTCTATGCAAAGCACACACACACACACACGGAAAAACACACAGCGAATCAATACCGATAGTCAATTGTGCCTAGAATAGTACAAGTCTCGTCTCTTTACTATTCTTCCCGATTTCTCTCTTTGTCTTCACACGCGATCAAACATGCTTTATCTAGAACCAGTCATAAGACTCTGTAGCTTATCTTACGAATCTTCGGCTATCCTAGGACACGATCAGTGAAGAATTGGAACCAGGACGAGGCAAGGATCGCGAAGGATCGTCGAGCCAAGTGGTCAGAAACAAACAAACGGAACAAGACTCACCATTCGAATCGCTGCCTCTGAAACCGGGTCCCTTGGACGTTATCCGATAAGAGAAGCAACGTCTATTCAGCGGGAGTGTTCCTTTTTCCCCGGCACCTCGACCTGTCCACCTCTTCCTGCTCCTCCACCAAGCTGTCGGGCCCGCTTCTCAACGTTGACAAATACCCGATCGTTGCACGCGACGATTTCGTACTCCGGACACTCGGCCGATCAGCTGTACCGGTCACGCACGAGGGACGCGGCAAAGGAGAAACCAACAAAACACCACGAGGACGTGGGACGAACGAAAGCAAAAACAAGACGGAGAGATCACTGTCACAGCACCAGCGCGTGTCGTTTCGTCGGTTTGGACGGAGCTTGGGCTAGGTCGAGGGGTGCAAAAGTCGCCGACCGGTCTCGTGTCACGTATACGCGAAAAATCCAACGAGCCTGTTTCACGCTCCCTATTCACCGACCACCGTTTCCTCGATCGCGCCGAGACCCATTCGTCCCGGTTAGCCGGCTCATTTTCTTCGCCTTTCTTCACCCCGGTGTGTCTTCGCGTTGGCCGACGTGGTCGCCCAGCGGGCCGCTACTGCCTCCGGAAACGTGGCTCGCACCTGTTCCACCGATAGATCATGCACGATCGCGGCACTCCGTGTCTCTGAGCGCTCACGATTACTCCGTCGCGCGCCAGGCGACACTTTCACGGGCTGCTTTTACCGATCGACATGCGTGCCACGTTCGTATCCCTGTTCGGTTCTCGCCGGCTAGGCTCTGTGTACACGGGTCCTTCGCGGTGCCTTGCTTCGTAACGATTATCGATCCTGGATCGGTTGCTCCGGCTTCTCCGATGGATCCGGTCACTGGACGCGCGTTGCTCTTGACATTATTTCTCTCTCTCTCTCTCTCTCTCTCTCTCTCGCAAATATGAAATTCGATAAAACCGAGTTTATCTACCGTTCAGAATTCTAATGAAGATATATGAAGAAGAAATAAGATGAAAGAAAGCCGAAAGCTCCACGCATTATCAATCCCTTCCCATAATCCCATTTACATCGAAAAATAGGTCACTGGAAAAATGATAGATAATAATATCCTCACGATTACTATAAAAATTACGTTTCCACTCTTCGCGAAGTACATACGGATCTTATCATACCGGAAGTGAAACCAGTTCCTCCATCTTTACTCCGCCATTAATTCCCCATTAATTCACCAGGAATTCGACGTTAATTCAACGTTAATTTAACCGAAGCTTGCGCGAGCGTAATTCGCTTAATTACACGCGGCAATCATAGTCACGTTCTCCAAAACAATACGATTCGAAACAAATTGAGTGCACTCGAGTGATCGAGGAACAATCGTACCGCGACGTTCCGCGATAAACCTTGAACTTCCCATCTCGTACACGCGAAACAATTACCCTCCTTTCCTCCGTGTAAAAATTGATATTCCCCCTAGCAGAAGAATTTCCATCAACTACCACACGATCCCGGCCACCGTTCCTATCCGCGCTGCCTACACCCACATCGGAACAGCCACCCGGAACGCCAAGTCTAACACGACTGTACGGTATTACGACGAAAACGATCGCGAGATAGCGCTTTTATTCCATCGCGGATCCCATTTGATCTGGTTCATCGAATAGGACCGAATAATCCCGTGCCGGAAATACCGGTTGACTCTCTTTGTTCTTCGGGGCCTGGAAAAGGACGAGGCGCGAGAAAGGAAGCGGAAATATTTCACCGTCCGGCCTACGTTAATCTGACGTCCAATGTATCTGGCTGTGACTCTCTTTCTAATGGTCAAAGACATTAAGTTCCTAACTTTTTACGGTATTATCTGTCCCCCACCCTGCGACCGCCAGTTTATCATCGTTCCTTGCTTCATTATCTTCCACGACGAGGACTCATCCCCAAAGCATACAGTACCAACGAGTACGGTCCCAGTGGCGCTCATCCGAGCTCTCCGTCTCTTTAGACCGATCATCCGGCCCTGCACCGGCGACATGACCGAGTTTTCGAGAAAATTTTGCCGAATACCCGCGGTGCACACGGTTCGGGTTACCGGCTAACGGTATTTTATAGCCGTTAATAATATCCGGTCGTTTACGTGGCCTGGGAAACCGAAAGGGCTCACCGGGTCTCCAGGCCGAAATTTCATAATTGCCTGGCCCAAGCTAGTGGGCTTGTTAGAGAGACAAAGTCAAGTTTGTTGTCGAAGCGGTTCCACGGCTCGTAAACAGATTATTCACGGCACAAACGGAATCACTAGATAACGCCTGTGGATAAATAATTCCGCGTGATAGCATCGGGATATGTATATATTGTCTCTGATCCAGGCGAGATCTATGGCTCGGTTAGCGGCAGTTTCTTGGGGGATTAGCTCGGATACGGGATTTAAACGGTAGAAAGTTGGACAATGCCAGGAATGTGTCGAGGTATTACGATGTGACGGCAGGCATCAGGGATATCTGTTTAGACTGATCCTGTTTGGAGCTGGGTTCCCGATACGAACGGTGCTTTCAGAGGATGCACGTGTGTTTCGGATCTTTCCGAACCAATGTACCCAGGATTCTCTTGGTAAGTCGAGCGAGGAAGTTGCAATGATTAAGAGGGAAATCAGATCCGTGTTAATTATCTCTTAATGTTCCTCTGTCTTTGTAACGTATTTTTATATTCGAAGCCAGCGCTATCTGCAATTTACAGCGATATGATTCACGGGTAATGCGATCTGTACCGTAAACCTAATTCCCTAGTTCCCAATTGCTTCTAAATTTATGCACTGGAGTACAAACAATGAAACCTAAGAAACCACACGTTCGTTATTCATATTGAGCTAAATTTCCCAGTTACGCATGCTTTTTTGTAAATTGACACGACTTTGGATACGTTCCAGTCTACGATACTGAAAGATGGTCAAACAAGATGTAAAAGTTCTCGAGTCATCATAAACATTTAACGCTGCAACTATAACAAGCAATGTCATGATCAGTCGTGACTTGATTTCACAATTTTTATTTACGATTCATATTTATATAGAATAATATATTTATCATACCCTGCGTTGGTATATTATATTTGGACTACGTTGGAGCAGGTAGTCCTAGGGTCAAAGCTGTGGCATTAAATTCGGTAAGAGATCGAAGCGACGAGGAATTTTTGAAAGCGAGAAAGCGAGGATGGAGAAATTTCGAAGACAGTTATATCAGTGGTTCCTCGTCGACTGTTTTGTAATCGGCATCCCTACAATTCCGAAGATCTCACGCTTCATTAGGCACTAATGACACTGTCAGCCACGAAATACCTCGGTAGGTCCCCAGAAATCGCTGTAGAACCGCAGAAACCCAGGTACCCTAAACGATTAATTTGTTTTCGTGCAAATCGACGTGATCGTGCAATGGGACATCCTAGATACGTCTTCGTTTTCAAAATCTTGCGCTTAACGTTAGAGGAGCATCTATCTCTTCCACGTTTGACATCGAGGAAAGAGACAGTCATACTCTCCGCGACTTTTGAACGACTTACATACATGTACATACACGTACACGTCTGGCTCGACGAATCTTAACTCTATGCAAAGCACACACACACACACACGGAAAAACACACAGCGAATCAATACCGATAGTCAATTGTGCCTAGAATAGTACAAGTCTCGTCTCTTTACTATTCTTCCCGATTTCTCTCTTTGTCTTCACACGCGATCAAACATGCTTTATCTAGAACCAGTCATAAGACTCTGTAGCTTATCTTACGAATCTTCGGCTATCCTAGGACACGATCAGTGAAGAATTGGAACCAGGACGAGGCAAGGATCGCGAAGGATCGTCGAGCCAAGTGGTCAGAAACAAACAAACGGAACAAGACTCACCATTCGAATCGCTGCCTCTGAAACCGGGTCCCTTGGACGTTATCCGATAAGAGAAGCAACGTCTATTCAGCGGGAGTGTTCCTTTTTCCCCGGCACCTCGACCTGTCCACCTCTTCCTGCTCCTCCACCAAGCTGTCGGGCCCGCTTCTCAACGTTGACAAATACCCGATCGTTGCACGCGACGATTTCGTACTCCGGACACTCGGCCGATCAGCTGTACCGGTCACGCACGAGGGACGCGGCAAAGGAGAAACCAACAAAACACCACGAGGACGTGGGACGAACGAAAGCAAAAACAAGACGGAGAGATCACTGTCACAGCACCAGCGCGTGTCGTTTCGTCGGTTTGGACGGAGCTTGGGCTAGGTCGAGGGGTGCAAAAGTCGCCGACCGGTCTCGTGTCACGTATACGCGAAAAATCCAACGAGCCTGTTTCACGCTCCCTATTCACCGACCACCGTTTCCTCGATCGCGCCGAGACCCATTCGTCCCGGTTAGCCGGCTCATTTTCTTCGCCTTTCTTCACCCCGGTGTGTCTTCGCGTTGGCCGACGTGGTCGCCCAGCGGGCCGCTACTGCCTCCGGAAACGTGGCTCGCACCTGTTCCACCGATAGATCATGCACGATCGCGGCACTCCGTGTCTCTGAGCGCTCACGATTACTCCGTCGCGCGCCAGGCGACACTTTCACGGGCTGCTTTTACCGATCGACATGCGTGCCACGTTCGTATCCCTGTTCGGTTCTCGCCGGCTAGGCTCTGTGTACACGGGTCCTTCGCGGTGCCTTGCTTCGTAACGATTATCGATCCTGGATCGGTTGCTCCGGCTTCTCCGATGGATCCGGTCACTGGACGCGCGTTGCTCTTGACATTATTTCTCTCTCTCTCTCTCTCTCTCTCTCTCTCGCGTAACACGCGGCGATGATACGCGTCTTGGTTGATTTTCCCTAGCGTGCTCCGGTCTGCGAAGATTACGGAGTCAGAGCGTCCGTTGGTGTAACACGGTTTTGCTTTTTCGTTTAACGTCGGCGAGACGATAAAGGGACGCGCGAACGGTTCGATGGCTTTTCATTGGTCGCGATCGATTTCACCGGGATCATGATCCACGTTCGAAACCAGTTTCGATTCTCGTCCCGGGGAACGGATGCACTCTCGAAAAATGCGGCTCGCGTCTGCGCACAGCTGCCTTCTGTTCGATGCAGGCGTCGAGTGGCGACTGTCGTTTCTTCCGACAGTCGGCTGCTCCTGGCCTGTCCCTTCCCCCTCCCCGGCGGCATCGAGAGAGCCGACTACAACCACGGATTTATGCTATTACCGCACCGCTGCCACCCCCTATGCTCCACTGCGCCTCCGCCTATGGCTACCGCTTCCCGGTGGCCTCTTCTTTTCAATCGCAGCACCGTCACACCATGCTTCCTTCGTCCTGCTATCGCTTCCACTGACCGATCGCCACTGCGCATCCAAGGAAAATCATTTTTTTATTTTCTTTTTCCTTTTGTTTTTCTTTTTTTTTTTTTTCTTTTTTCCCTCTTTTTCCAGATATTTCCAATTGGGATATGGCTGTATCGCATCGTTAGGTTGAGTGATTTTTGTGTGGCTTGCAGATGGTGGTTTTCTATCCCTTTTTTCGATGGCTTTGGGTTTTTGGGGTTTTCAGATGGAAAATATAGAGTAGAGGCTAATCGATATGAAGGGTTTAGAATGTTTTGGTTTTTGTTTTTGCAATGGAGGAATTGGGTGATTGGAGAACTTATTTTATTTTGGAAATTGAGATCGGAATTGTTCATTATCCATGCTAATTTTTAGAAAGAAAATTTGGAATTTCTTGAGTTTTAATTTATATTAATTAACACTGGTATTATAATAAGTGACTAAATGCATTATGCAATAAATATAATAATGGTATTGGTATGACAAAGGTAGGTAAATAAATAAATAATTATTATATGTTTGAAAAAATTGCGAAAATAAAATGTTCGGAACAAGTCATTTTGTCAACTTTGCTAGTTCTAGTGTTAACCCTTT